TGGAGGCTTTTCTGTTGTTGAGTTTTGTTTCGGCAGTTTTGCAAACCAGAACACCTGAGAGAATTATTACAAGATTTAAAACTTAGATAACAAAATGAATCACTAGTTTCAAGTAAAAAACATTGAATCACCAGGTACGGTGGCTCACACCTGTAATTCCAGCACTTTGGGAGGTCGAGGCAGGCAGATCATGAGGTCAAGAGTTCAAGTCCATCCTGGCCAACATGGTGAAACCCCATCTCTACTAAAAGTCCAAAAATTAGCCGAACATGGTGGCACCTGCCTGTAGTCCCAACTACTCAGGAAGCTGAGGCAGGAGGATTTCTTGAACCCAGGAGGCGAAGGTTGCAGTGAGTCAAGATCCTGCCACTGCACTCCAGCCTGGGTGAGAGTGAGACTCCATCTCAAAAAAAAAAAGAAAGAAAGAAACATGGAATCATACATAATGCTGTTTAAAAATCTTAGCTGACAGCCACCTTGGTGCTTTTCTGAAAAATATTTAGGGAAGACAGTTTCAGGCTAGTAAAGATTTTCTTCCCCACTATCTCCTCTGACAGAAGTGGATCCACTTGGCATTTTGTTTATTCCAGGAAGATTTTTAACTTTATCTCTAGATGCTGGCTCCAAGCAACTGCCCAGCAGGCAGGGCCCTTAATCTGGTTTCAGCTACCCGTGCCATGAAACTACTAGAGAATCTCATGAATGGGATGGCTAGTAAGTATTCACATCATCAGCTGTACATTGGACAAATGTGTTCCAGATCTTTCCAAACTAGAGTTCCCTAAAACTGGGTCTTACACTATGAAATCCTGGTTCAGGGTATGTCCCCGGGTCTCTTGCTCTGTTGCCCAAGCTAGACTGCAGCATGCAATCATGGCCCATTGAAGACTTGACTTCCTGGACTTAAGTAATCCTCCTGCCACAGCCTCCAAAGTAGTTGGGACTACAGGCAAGTGCTACCACACCAGGTAATTTTTGAATTTTTTTGTAGAGATAGGCTCTATGTTGCTCAGGCTGGTCTTGAACCCCTGAGCTCAAGTGATTCTCCTGCCTCAGTCTCCCAAAGTGCTGGTATTACAGATGTGAGCCACCGCACCTGGCTGGCACTCTGAATTTCTGATGCAGGTGGTTGCATGGGCCTTTCTGAGAAACACTAGTTTGGGGAGTTACTGCTTTATCAGCAGTAAGTATTCTTTAGCAATGCCTGTACTTAATTGAGATTAATTATTCCACACGTAGAACCCATTTCTGCAGGAATGTCTGAGATAACCATGCAGTCGGTCTGATGTTGAACACACAAGCTGGATTTGGTAGACTCGAGCATGCTCATCTTCCCTCAGACATATTTTTCTCAGCTAAGCTTTTTATTTCATCTTGGATTTTCTTTAAATTCCAAGAAATTACAATCATCTCATTGGTTTTCTGAGACCTATCTCTGTCTCTTATCAGATTTCACCTAACAAGCTTTTGCTCCCATCCAGCTCATGCTCAGATCATGGAATCTGGCTTCCATCTTCACTGCTCCACTGAAACCACCCTGGCCAAGGTGGCCAACAACCTCCTTGTGATCATCAGATGGACACTCTTCCGTCTGCACCTCACCTAACCTCTCACAACAATCAACACCATGGCTAGCTCTCCTCAAATTTCCATTTGCCCTGGCTTCCTTGCCAATACTCCGACTTTTCTTCTATCTCTTGAGCCCTTGTGGTCTTACTGAGGGCTCATCCAACTCCTTGGGCCCAATCCCAGATTATCTTGTCTCGTCACTCACTCTGCGGGGGGATGGGGTCAACTCTGCTCCTATCTACTTGCCAACATCCCAAGTCTCTTTCTAGACTAGATCTCTCCTCTGGTCAAGGCTCTGGTTTTCTATATCCAACTAATTATTCCACAGCTTCCCCAATATGTCCCATGTGCACAAGAAACTCCACACAGCCAAAGTGAACCATCCTGTTTTAATTCCTCCAAAACATACGCCTCCTAGGATGTTACCCCCTCATGTTAGCCCTGGCAGTCATCACCACTTAGCCAGACAGTGTGCAGTGACTGCCTAGGAAGTCCCATCATGGGGAGAAGTAGGAAACCAGTGTGCATGTTATCTTTGTTTGGAAGGACTCAGACTTGGCCACTAAGGCTTATTAAATGGTCTCCCTTCTCTGCCTGTGGGTCTCTCACTAGACAGCAAAAACAGCATTGCCTCTGGAAATTCTTCCCTTAAGAGAAGTATTTCCTGGGAAAGAATATTCCTTTTAATAAATGGTGAAATTGATCTTCACATGCAAAATGATGAAATTGGACCCTGACCTCACAGCATTCAGAAAAATTAAAATGTTTCAAAGATATAAGGGCTGAAAGTATAAAATTCTAAGAAGAAAGCAGAGGTAAATCTTTATGACCTTGGATTTGGAAATGATTTCTTAGCCATGACACCAAAAGCACAAACAATAGAAAAAACAACAACAAGAAATTGGACTGGACTTCATCAAAATTAAGAACTTTTTTGATTCAAAAAGCACTACGAATAAAGTGAAAGAATTTATAGAATGAAAGAAAACATTTGTAAATCATGTATCTGACAAATGAACTGTATCTAGAAGATATAAACAAATCTTAAAACTCAATAAATAGCTCAATCAACGGACAAAGGATCTGAATAGAAATTTTTTAAAAGATATACAAATAGCCAAAAAGCACGTGAAAACATGCTCTTCCTTAGGCATAAGCAAAATGCAAATCAAAACCACAGTAAGATGCCATTTCATACCCACCAGGACAGTTACAATAAAAAAGAGATAATACCAAGTATTGAAGAGGATGTGGAGAAATCAGAATCCCCATAAACTTCTGGTGGGAAAGTAAAATAATGCAACCACTTTGGAAAACAGTCTTGGAGTTTTATCAAAAACTTAAATATAGAGTTACCATTTGACTCAACAATTTCACTCTTAGGTGTATAGCCAAGAGAAATAAAAAGATCACACAAAAACTTGTACACAAATATTCATAGCAACATTATTCATAGTAGCCAAGAGGTGGAAACAACCCAAATGTTCATCAGCTGATCAATGGATAAAATGTGGTGTATCCATGATAGCATATTAGCCATAAAAACTATATGAAATACTGATACACACTACAGTAAGGCTAAACCTTGAAAACGTTATGCTTAGTGAAAAAAATCGGAAAAAAAAGGCCAAATGTTATATGATTTCATTCACATGAAATGTCCAGAATAGGCAAGTCCACAGACACAGAAAGCAGAGTTAGGAGCTGCCTCCAGTTGAGGGGCGGAGAGGGAATCGGGAGCTGAGAGCTAAAAGACACAGGGTTTCTTTTGAGAGTGATGAAAATTTTCTAAGATTTATTGTGGTGGTTGCACAACTCTGAAAATACACTAAAAACTACTGAATTGTGCAACTTAAGTTGATAAAAACTATATGGTATGTGAATTATATCTCAATAAAGCTGTTCCAAAAAAAAAAAAAAAGGTATTCCCTGCAACCAGTGCATATTCACTGCAAAATAATGAAATTGAACTCTGACATAAATATACAAAACATAGGCTAAACATTTTCAGTCACCTTGATCTAGGCCCTTCAGATCATTTTGTTCTATTACCAGAAACGTCTTGGGGTTTTCAAAATCATTTATTTTCCTTTATGAGGGGTTTTTTTTTTTTTTTTTTTTTTACTAATTTTACCTATTATTTGACCTCTTTTGTGTTTTATGCTAGTAAGTGTAAATAAGAACATTTCAGTACACCAAGATAGTCTTTGCCCTGGATAAAGAAGTAGAAAATGACAATGTGAGCCCCTCCGATAGCGTCTCAGCTCAGGCAGTTTAGCTCTAGATAAACCCCTTGACTCGACTACTTGCCTGAAAGAGAAGACTATTTCCTTTCTGAGTGACTAAACCTAGAAAGTCAGGAGATGAGGAGGCCAAATTCTCCTCCCTTTGATTTTTCCACTCAGGATTACATTCGGCCGGGTCTCAGGAACAATCCAGGAGTTTCTGGAAAAGCCACGTTACCTTCAAACCAGAATTTTCCAATAGTTACAGCAGGAAACACAGGAACTGAAAGCTCACATCTGCAATCTGCATAATTCCCCTGCCTCGGGTGGTCCGTGGGAGCAACCCACAGTGCAGGGGAACGAGGAGGAAGAACAGAAGCCCTGCCAGGGAGAAACCCCCTGGCTCTATCGATAAGCCTCAGCCCAGGTCAGATCCCTTCTAAGGAGGCCTGAGAGGAGGCCAGCGGAGGACCCTCACTTCCTTGCTGGATTTCCACTTGGCCCACATGCTCCTGCTTTAAACCTGATTAGATTGACCAGCTTCCCCAAAAGGCAAGGCTCCAGAGGGTTTCGTTTGTTTGTTTGAATTCCCAGATCTTCCCAGGTCAGCTTTCCCAAGCATGAGAAGCGGAATTGCCTAGAACCAGGACTATATCTGAAGGGATTTATAGACAGAGGTAGCTGTACTTTTTCTAAGTTACCACTTTATGCAAAAGAAAATCAATGGTAGCTAACTACACAAGACATGACTAGAAGTTTTCCAAACGCCTCCACTCTTTATCTGTGAAGAGAGGGTTTTTTCTCCACACAAATAATAAATTTTAGTACAGGGGTTCTCAGCCTTGGCTGCATGGAGCCACGGAGATTCTGATTTGACTGGTCTTTGGTGAAAACTGGCAGCAGTCATTCTTCAAGTTCCCCTTGGTTCCAATGTGCAGCCGAGGTTGAGAACTATGGCTTTGTGTCTACCCTCTACCCAGCACTTCTGCTCTGCCTATATGACCTCGTTTAATCTTCACAACAACACTGGAAGGTATTTTTACTACAAGAAAAGAAATAAAGGAACAAAGAAGATACAAATTGATTCTCTAAGATTTGAATCCAGATCCGATTCAAAAAAATAATAATAATTAAAGCCTGAGCTGCTACCCTTGGCGACGCTGCCGTAGCCGCTGCTGAATGAGCCTCCTGTCCAGCCCTGCTTACCTCCCAGGAGCTGCAATCAGACAATTGGGGTGTGGGGGATCGAGTCCACTAGGCAGATTGATCAACTCAGATCCACAGCCGAAATATCAATACTTCCACCCTAATTACATTCTCGCCCGTCACCCCTCCCACTCAATCTTTCTGAGAATTATATTTTCAGGAATCCTACCCTAGCTGAGAAGCCTGCTTAGGTAGCATTTTCATGAACTGGTAATACTCACCACTTTATTCCCTAGAGCGTTTCCCCCGACAGCTCCACGCCAACTCGCGTTCTCTTCCCTTTCCTCCCCATCTCCCTTGTTACAGACCAGTAGCAGCACCTGAGCCCCTCAAACGCAGCCACGGTCTTTCAGCTGGCCACGAGGCAGGCATCCTCTTCCACAGCTAGTAAGGAAGTGGTTAACTTGACTGTAGCTCGGTTTAACTCAGACAAGCCAGGCCTAGCCAACAGATACTGTTCAGAGCTATACAGAACGCCAGGAGCACCTTGCCCCCAGCAATATGAATTATCTTGATTCAGTGGACTTTCTAAAATTTACCCTTCCCTCAGTATTGAAAACCCGGTCCCGAACGAGGGTAGAAAGGGGCTCCCAATACAGCCATCCTGACCTGGAATTTAACATGGGTCTGTAAGGACCTTGGACTTTTTGAAATTATTATTTATATCTCTGGAATAGTTTCCTTTTCTTTTTTGGTCACAAAGCAAAGAAGTATAAAAAGAATTACCAAAAGTAAAAGTAAAAAAAAATAAATAAAACAATAAAAACAAAAACAAGGAATTACCAGGGACCCAGTCCCATGGTACTCAGGGTCAGTGGCATATTTTCTGAGCTTGACGTGGGCAATGAGAACTTATTTATGCCAATCTTGATTCAGCTCCCTAATAATCCAGTATTCTTTAAGGTGTATTGATTTTACGGTGAACACACCTGACAGCAATAACTGCAGCATGATCCCATATGGCAGATGCATCTGAATGTGTATTCTGAGCTCGGGAATCTGGGCGTGGCCAACGTGGAGCTCGGTTCCTCGTCTACGAGGAACATCTGAGCATCTCCCACTGCACCTTCCACCCTCCGCCCCATCCCATGGAACGTGGGCAATACTGGGGCTGGAGGCCCTTTGTTTTGGGTTTAATGAAGGTTTCCAGGTGGAGGTTATTAGCAGGAGCGTGTTAAGTGAAAATGCTGGATAAACTGATGCATTTTGCAAGTAGTTGTGCTTCTCCTGTCCAGCCCACTGCCACTGGGCTCTGTCCCTCTGCATGTGAGCCCCCAGGAAAACCCCATGTCTCATTTGCTGGGCCGGGGCTCTTCCGCAGCTTCTTGAATCTTGCACCAGAGGTTCTTGAACCTTGAATCCCTGTAGGAGTCGATAGGGGTTGGGCACAACACTGTTTAAGACCAAAAATTTAGAGACTGGCAAATTGAGACTGAATCCCAATTTCTATTCTTTGGCTATTCTTTGGCCTGGATATTCTTCACCAATATAGGTTTGGAAATTCTAATGTGGACCCTCAATATCACACCCCTCCTCTGTTTGTCTGGGCTCATAATTATAATGGCCAACCAAGAAAGTAAAAACTGAGGTGGATTATGGGTCTTTGTTAGGGAGATCTGAACCCTGTTTGTCTAAAAATGGTACCAAGTTATTTAAGTGCATGTTGAAGGTGTAAAGAGAAGATCCAACATTTTCCATTAATTACTTTTCTAAAGAGACTTTCAGCTCCACTTCTCCTGACTTGAAAGTATTTTTCATTCATCCCCCAGCCACACTCAGACCAGAAACCAATAGCAGTTAGCCTTATCTGTCACAAGCCTAAGCAACTGGTGGCTGATCACCCTATCTTGTGCTATTACTAGGCCGTTAGGAAGCTAAAATTAAAACCTGGTGTCATTAACATACCAGACCAAATACAGAGAAAGCCACAAAAAGTCAAGTTCAAATCCTCTTAATAAGTTTCTATTTTAAAAATTAAAATACAGCAAGCTTCACTGAGAGACCTTAAGATGGGTCACTAGACATCACGGTAAACATGATTTTTTTCGTACTGTTAATATTTCTAAGCCAATGGCTTCTGGAAGCATGGTGGGAACCCTGATTTCTGTAGGTAGCCACTAAATCATTCCCCTGACTTTATAATCCTACAGCAATGTCTTCATATTTTGTGAAGTTGAGAACCCTTTCCAGGGGAAACCTGCACACTCATAGCCAAATTGCAGAGACCCTATCTAAAACTGGTTTAAAGATGCAGAATTTACTTTGCCACCAGAAATGTTCATGTATTGGATTTAGGGGTGGGCTTAAATTTTGCTTGACTATTTGGTTAAACAGTTACTTTGGTGACCTCTATTTAGCTCATGTCTATTCTGTGCCAGGCACTGGGCAAAATGCTTGGCTTCTGTTATCTCTGATGTGCACAAATCTAAAAGGTGGGTCAAATCTTCAATCCCCATTTACAGTTGAGGAAACTGATGCTCAGGGAAGTCAAATATCTTGCTCAAGTTCACATAGCTGGCAGGTGACAAAGCCAAAAGTTTAATAAGGTGTGTTGACTCACGACTGTTGCCACTGTTAAGGCTGTTCCTAATCTATGCCATGACCTAGTAACCACCTCTACCCTGACACCCTGGCCACACCCTTCTCTCATCGCTTGCCCTTGTGGTGGCTTTATTGCTACCAACTAGAAGAGGCCTTCGAAGGTAACTGTTTTACAACAGTCTAAAAAAGAAGCTGAAGAATTTATGCCAAAACTGAAATTATTGCTTTGGGCAAACGCTGATGTTCAACTAGGCAATGTTAAACCAGCCCTATTTACTCTTAAGCTCTTATACCTCAGGAAATGTTTACATAAATTACCCCAGACGGTGCTGTCTAAATACATTGGTCTCCATTTCAGAAATTGCCTGGACTCACTGTTTCTCCTGAGTTTGGGGAAGGCAGCTGCTGATTGCTTTCTTTCAGCTTTTCCAGGCTTCAGCCATGTCTGCCACATGCTGTGGATCATGAGGAAAAGTTTCTCTTCTAGAAATCCTCCAGCTAATAAACAAAGACAGGGCAATAAAATTAGAATATTATCATTTTGCAAACCCCTACGGAAGTAAGTCTAGGCAAGGGTCATCATGGCTGCTACCTCACAAAGAGAGACAGCTGGTCATCGTGCACCTGCTCATAGATATGAAATGCTGCTTATGAAGGATTCTTGCCGAAAGCATCACATCTGGATCAGGTCAAACCAACTCTAGGATCACCCAACGACTGCGAAATTGCCAGAATCAAAATGGAGTTGCCAGTGTTAAAAATCAAAACAAACCCTGAAAAATAGATCTGTGGAAGACCATGAAGACAGGTTCTCATGCTTGTATGCCTAATAACAAAGCTATCACAACAGTCTCAAAACCACAGTCTTGCAAAATGGCCACTGCAACCTTACACCAAAAAAAACACTTCCACAAGGACATCTGCCCAGCAACCGCCTGTCCAGCTGCACTGGAATCACCCTTGTTATTAATCTTTATAGCCAAGTATAATCATTTCAAAATAATTATGTAATCTGCCTCATTTTTTTCCTTTGAAAACTTCTGTCTTTCTTTACCTCCCTGAATCCATGCATAGTTTACTATGGCAGACATATTCCTCTTGCAATGATCTATTCCCAAATAAATATTTTCTTTTAGAAAGCTTTGCTCTGTTGTTCGGTTTGACTATATAAGAGGAAATCTCTTTGCTGTGATCGTATAGAAGATGCGGAGATATTCTCTGTATTGGCATTTTTCTGTGTCTTCCCTTGATGAAAGCAATGGATGGAACATTAAAGGACAACTTAATAAAGACTTTCCATAGTAGTGTTAGTTAATGGGATCCATCCAGAATATAACTTTCTGGTAATCAATTTGATTCCAGAATAGTGAAAGACACCTAGAAGAGTACACATAGTCAGATACCAAAACTGACCTTTAAAAATTTCGTCGTTTTCAGAAATCATTTTTAGCAATGATATCAATATTAATTATTCTAAAACATGTATAGTAAGGCAAATAAGTAATTATGTTAATATTGTCTGGAACCAAGATTTTAGGTAGAAGAGGGAAGATATGCAAATACAAAATAAAAGAAGCTAAACTTTAAAAAAATCCCTGTGACACTGAATTCAAATTCAGAATGTTAGTATGAACTCACGGTGCATTTTCTCTGAAGTAGTGTTTTAAATTCTGTCCGCTGAAAAAGGCCGGGAACAATGATCAACTCTTAAGGAATGGGCAGCCCTAAAGCCAGCTTATAATTTTTAAATATCATCGGAAAATGATATTGAAAGGAACCAAGCCTCCTTGGAGAAATTGCTGATCATAGGTCAGGGACAGGAAAAGTGCATGTGCCTGGCACATTTGTCATACCAGACAGCAAGGAAGTTACTGAAAACTGTGATTGTCTCGAAGCATTTAGAAGCCAAAAAAAAAAAAAAAAAGCGGCTATCACTAGGAAAATGCGGAAAAATTTGAAAGTAAGAACAATGACAAATCAAATGTGTTAAAAATCCACAAGATCGTAATTACACTTGACCGCAAATACTCACTGACCACCTTTCATGAATGCCAGGCAACCACGTGATCAACCTGAAAATGAGAAAATACAGGGCAGGAATCAAGGGCTTAACCTGTCCTTGCTGTATTAATTGTATATCAGGATAATTTTTCGAGGTAAAGTTTCTCTTCATGTCTTTCAACTAGTAAATGAAGGAATGATAGATTTAGAATATTGCCATTTTGCAACCCCTACTGAAATAATGATATAAACAAAGGTCATCAGTGGCTGCTGCATCACAGAGACAACTGGTCGGTCTGTGTCTCCTAAGAGAAGCATGTGATACTCCTAATGGAGGATTCTTGGCAAATAAATTGGACTTGAATCAGATCGAACTTCCAATTCGAGAGTCTAGAATTTATAGGAAACGCTGGTCAGAGAAACCGGCTGCAGACGAAATGCACTTCAGGGTTGCAATAATGCAATTAGAGAAATCTGAATGTTGTCTATTTTTAAGTGTGATAATGATTATATGGTTTTAGTTTTTAAAGAGTTCTTATCATTTACCAATACATATGGACATTG